CCAGAAGACAACTCTTTTTTTTTTTGGTACTGGGATTGAACCACTGAGCCACATCCCCAGTCCTGTTTTGTATTTTATTTAGAGACAGAGTCTCCCTGAGTTGCTTAGTGTCTCACTTTGGCTGAGGCTGGCTTTGAACTCAAGATCCTCAGCCTCTGGAACCACTGGGATTACAGGTGTGTGCCAATGAGCCCAGTGGGAACACACTATTTTTTTTCTTTAATATTTTTTTAGGTATCATTGGGCCTTCATTTTAATTATTTATATATGGTGCTGAGAATCGATCCCAGTGCCTCACACATGCTAGGCAAGTGCTCTACCACTGAGCCACACCCTCAACCCCCAGGGAACGCAACTCTTTATTGAGATTTCTTGTTTGAGCTGAAGGGAGATGCAGCACTAACCAAGAGGGAGTCACACTGGCTCTCTGGACAAAGGAAAGAGCTTTTATTTTCTCTCAAGGAGAGAGTTGCATTTGTGTGAAAGGGTGGTGGGTTAGAGTTTAGGAATCTAAGTTGGCATTGGGTGCCTTTTTTAAAAAACTTTTTTTATGTGTTCTAATTAGTTATACATGAGAGCAGAATGCATTTTATTCATTGTACACAAATGGAGCACAACTTTTCATTCTCTGGTTGTAATGACATAGAGTTTCACCACACGTGCTGTCATACATACAGGGTAATGATGTTCATCTCATTCCACCATCTTCTTACCCCCCATACCCCCCTTCCTCCCTCCCCTTTGCCCAATCAGAGTTCCTCCATCTCCTCATGCCCCGCCCCCATTATGGGTCAGCATCCACTTATCAGAGAGAACATTCGTCTTTTGGTTTTGGGGGATTGGCTTACTTTGCTTAGTATGATATTGACATTGGTTGCATTTTAAAAGGTGTTTTTCTTTACCTGGATGAGAAATTAAATCTTGAGGGAGGGATAGTCAGCCAGTCATCCCTGACACCAAGTGTTCCATCTCCCATATTGATGTCATGTCCTGTATAAACATCTTTATCCTGTGATAAAATGATTTGCTGCAGTTGTTAAGAGAACATATAGAACTGGGCTCAGTGGTGCACGCCTATAACTCCAGGTACTAGGGAGGCTGAGGCAGGAGTTTGAGGCTAACTTCAGCAATTTAGTGAGACTGTCTCAAAATTAAAAAAAAAAAAAAGGGCGGGGGATGAAGCTCAATGATGGAGCATTCTTGGGTTCAATCACTAGTATCTAAAGAGAGAGAACACAGACAGGAAATGGAAGAGAACATACATGGCAAATAAAACGTTAAGGATCCTGGGAATTTGCTGTTTTGGTGACTCAAGTAGTTTTATCCTTTGTGTTGTTTGTCCTTGGAGAGTCCTGGCGATAACATCCTAATGATGCACTTGGTGTCTGAAGCTGATAAGGTCAAGTGTGGATAAGTAAGCCACACACCTCGTTCATAATAGCTGATAAGCTATGAGTTGGGTCCCTGGAGCCCATCTGCCCTTTTGGAGGGCAGGAGGGGCTGACTGTCTGGTTCCTCCCTCAGAGTTTTTGCTCTCTTAAGGGGAGCTGTTTTTCATGGAGGTCTCATTACCATGGTCTGTAACATTTCCAGCTCCTGAGATGAGGTCAGTGTCAGGCTAGAAGGGCAGCACAAGTTGGAAAACACTTTTGATAATTTATTTTATTTTTATTTGGGGGGTACTGGGGATTGAACTCAGGGGCACTCGACTACTGAGCTACATCCCCAGCCCTATATTTTTATTATTTTTATTTTATTTATTTTTATTTATTTTATTTTATTTTATTTATTTTATTTATTTTTATTTAGAGACAGGGCCTCACTGAGTTGCTTAGAGCCTCACTTTTGCTGAGGCTGGCTTTGAACTCGTGATCCTCCTGCCTCAGCCTCCCAAGTCACTGGGATTACAGGTGTGCGCCACCATGCCCAACTGATAATTTATTTATTTTTTATTGTATTTTATTTTTTTGGTACCTGAGATTGAACCCGGGGTGCTTAACCACTGAGCCACATCCCCAGCCTTTTAAAAAATATATATATATAAATATATTTTTTAGTAGTTGAATGGACCTTTATTTTATTTAATATGTGGTGCTGAGAATTGAACCCAGTGCCTCACACATGCTAGGCAAGTGCTCTTCCACTCAGCCATAACCCCAGCCCCTCCCCAGACTTTTTTTTGTGTTATTTAGAGACAGGGTCTCACTGAGTTGCTTAGGACCTCAATAAGTTGCTGAGGCTGACTTTGAACTCGCGATCCTCCTGCATCAGCCTCCCAAGCTGTTGGGATTACAAGTGTGCACCACCACACCTGACTCTGATAATTTGTTTTAAAAATAAATTGGCCAAGGATTATAGGGTCGAAGGCAAATGGCAGACAGGGATGGCCCCAGCATTTCTCCCTGGGACCTCCACCAGATTCCCAGGGTGAGGGAAAGGATGTGCCTGGGGGCCTTGCTTGTGAGGGGAAATGCTCTCCCTGAGGGAGAGAGCACAGCAGCCTCGGTGTTGGAGAAACCAGTTTTGGAACGAGGACAGGAGAAAGGGATCTGCAATGAAATGCTAGAAAGACAGTTTGTAATATGTAATGTGACCATTTGGCAGAAGCAACTGGGCAAAGGCCAGAGCCAGCTGGCCCCATCCGGGATGCCTGGAGGGCGGCCTTGCATCAGCGTGGGCCTGAGAACCAGGGTGGTGCGCTAGCTCGCCCCGGTCTGGACAGCACAGGATCTGGCCCATCCGAGCTCCTGGCAGTGTGTGCTCCACCGTCCACTCTACCTTGGGTGCCACGGTTCTGCCCAGAGCAGATTCAGGCTGGCTGTGAGGCGATGGTGACTCCTATGGGAATCCTGGTACCATGCCACCTTCCATCTCCAGGACTGCCCCCAAACAGAGGTCCTCGAGAAGTAATAATGTTTCCATCTGTAAGTGGAAATGCTGCAGATTGTTGCTTTTATTGGCATCTGGGGAAATCAAATAACATCATGCTGGAGAAAAGGTACCTGGGACACAGCAGACCCTCAGCTCATGGTGAGGTGGGAAGGGCGTAGCTGGCCTGTGAAATGGTGATATCAGGGCCTCACCCACTTTGAAGATTGCAGGGAGATGCAATGAGAAGAAAAATGAAAACCGGACCCAGTTATTTGCATGAGAAGTAGGTGTGCTAGTTCCACAAACTCAGCACTAAGGTGTAAAGTAATGAAAGAGTAAAATCAGCTTTAGCTAAATCAGAAAACAGAGGATTTTTTTTTTTTCTTTTGTAGTACTGGGGATTGATCTACTTGAGCCACATCCCCAGCCCTTTCTGTTTTTTATTTTGAGACAGGTTCTCGTTAAATTGCTAAGGCTGTCCTCAAATGTGTGATCTTCCTGCCTCAGCCTCCCTAGTAGCTGGGATTACAGGTGTGTATCATCTTGCTCAGCATAAAATGACTTTTTTCTTGATTTCTGCATTGTCTAAGTTTTCTGCTCTCTGTGTTTGTTTCTGGGAGTGGGGATAAGGGGAGAAGAAAAGAATAAAGGAAATCTAATTTATGTAATTTTTTTGGAATTTTTTATGAAGGATCGTGGCCTTGAGATGATGGTAGTTCCTCCAAGGTGAAAACCTACTCTGACTTAGTAAGCCCACATGGCTGGTTCTGGGGTTCCCTCTTAGGAGTTAAGAGTGTGGGGGTCTCACCTCATCTCCTGAGTCTCACTCTTCTTCCCGAAGCTCTGAAGCTTTTGCAGAGGGCTTGGCCTGGCCTGGCCAGATAGGCCAATCCTGGATAGAACAGCTGTCTGGAATTATACCACAGCTGCTGCACCCACCCTGAAGTCCATCCAGTGGCCTGTCTCCCAGCAGTGCGGCCTGAGGGGCAGCTGGGGAATCTCAGCAGCAGCGCTAGAAGGGAGGGCCGAGCCAGGGCAGCACTGGACTCCAGGGCAGCACTGGACGCCAGGGCATCTTTGCTTTCCTCCAGTCTACAGGAAAAACCCTCATTTATTTGTCTAGCAGGTTCCTATGTGTATACTGAAGAATTGCTCACATTACTGACTACGCTATATGATAGGCTCTAAAAGTAAAGTTTATTTCATTGCCAACTACATCAGGAATTAAATTGGCCAATATAGCAGAAACTGGAGCTAAAGGCATGTAGGAAAAGGTAGGTTTGTTTATTTCATATAACAAGAATTTCAGGGTAGGCATTCATGACCGGTTTGGTGGCTCCACAGGCCACCAAGTCCCCAGATCCATCTTTTGGGCTTCACCGTTTGTGTATTAACCTTCATCACTAACTGTGTCACTTTGTGGTTGCAATATGATTGCTGCATCCCCAGATATTACCCCCCACATTCCAGATAGGACAAAGTAGGAAGGGCCAGTGCCTTTATCAGGAAAGCGGAAGTGTTTCCAGGAAACTTCACTCTGCTTTTCATTGGCCCAAACTGTGCCAGCTGCAAGGAAGTCAGATGAAGCAGAGGTTTTTAGTGAGGCACAGTAAGGCCTTGAAGTTTAGCTGGTAAGAAAGAAAGGGAAATAGATATTGGGTGGACAGTTAGCTCTGCCTGCTACAGCAGTATAACCTGCTTATATGACTCTGATTTTTCCAAGGAGTGTCACAATGAGACATCTTTGGAAATGGATGCTTGGTGGTCTGAAAGAGCCTCCTGCACTTGAAGCAGGGTCTAACTTGGAAGGAGGGAGGCACTGGGGTTGGGGGGAGATTGGCCTGGAGGAATACAACGCTGGAGCCAAGTGCTACTTGTGTGTACCCATAAACCTCAGAATGCAGCCCTAGAGCATCATTCATAGAAACCCTGAACCTATCCTGTGGGGCTATTTCTTTGGGAATGAAAAAAGTGGTTCAGGATTGCAACTTTGTGCAGGTGACTTTTTAGGCAGCCGCTGTAGGAGATACGCGGGTCTTCCAAGGCCAGAGCCTCCACCTTCATCGCCCACCGAATAGGCATTCAGGAGCTTTCCACTCACCAGGCTTCTTCATCTCTTTCCCCTTAAGAAAATCCAGCAGCTCTCCGAGGGCTCCATGTTTGGCCACGGACTGAAGCACTTGTTCCACAGCCGCCGCCGGTCGCGGGAGAGGGAGCATCAGGCGTCTCAGGATTCCCAGCAGCAGCCGCCGCAGCAGGGCCTGTCTGACCATGACTCCCCGGACGAGAAGGAGCGCTCCCCAGAGATGCACCGCGTCTCCTACGCCATGTCCCTGCACGACCTGCCCGCGCGGCCCACCGCCTTCAACCGCGTGCTGCAGCAGATCCGCTCGCGGCCCTCCATCAAGCGCGGTGCCAGCCTGCACAGCAGCGGAGGGGGCAGCAGCGGCGGGGGCAGCAGCCGGCGCACCAAGAGCAGCTCCCTGGAGCCCCAGCGGGGTAGCCCCCACCTGCTGCGCAAGGCCCCCCAGGACAGCAGCCTGGCCGCCATCCTGCACCAGCACCAGTGCCGTCCCCGCTCCTCCTCCACCACCGACACGGCCCTGCTGCTGGCCGATGGCAGCAATGTGTACCTCCTGGCCGAGGAAGCCGAGGGCATTGGGGACAAGGTGAGGTGGGGCAAGAGGAGCACCTCAGGGTGCGACTTAGGGACAAGAGCCACCTGCTGAGTGGCCTTGGGACCTGGGGGAGCCAGATGGGGCCATGCCTAGTGGTACTCATGCAGGCTGCCATGCGTGCAGTTATCTGCCTTGGTTACAGGAGTCACAGGTATGGCCAAAAGGAAGAGAGGATTCTCCAAGTGGCTAATTTTCGTTCTTTGGGGATTTGTTTTCAGAATGATATTTTGCCCAGGCTGATATTAATTTTGTTTTATTTTCCTTAAACATGCTATCAAGAGGCAGTGATTGCTGTAGTTAAAAGCTCAGAGGCGGGCTGGGGTTGTGGCTCAGTGGTAGAGGGCTTGCCTTGCATGTGTGAGGCACTGGGTTTGATACTCAGAATCACATTTTAAAAAAAGAAAAATGAAGTTATTTAAGAAACAAAACAGAGGAGCGATTGGGTGCATTGCTGCACACCTGTAATCCCAGTGGTTTGGGAGACCGAGGAAGGAGGATCACTAGTTCAAAGTGAGCCCCAGCAAAAGCAAGGCGCTAAGCAACTCAATGAGACCCTGTCTCTAAATAAAACAAAATAGGGCTGGGGATGTGGCTCAGTGGTCCAGTGCCTCTGAGTTCAATCCAAGTGCCCCCACCAAAAAAAAAAAAAAGCACAGAGGAGAGCAAAGCTTGGTTCTGCCACTTTCTTAGCAGTATTTATCACTTCTTTGTACCTCAGTTTCACCAATAAAAAATGGAGATAATGAGAGTATAGGTTTTGGAGGGTTAAATGAGTTAATATATGTAAAATACTTGAAATAGGACCTGGCATGATATCATATATATATATATATATATATATATATATATATATATATATAATTTTTTTTTTTGTATTGGGAGGTGTACCAGGGATGAAGCCAAGGACACTTAACCACTGAGCCACTCCCCAGCCCCTTTTTATATTTTATTTAGAGACAGGGCCTCATTAAGTTGCTCAGGGCCTTGCTAAGTTGCTGAAGCTGGCTTTGAACTCCAGATCCTCCTGCTTCATCCTCCCAAGCCACTGGGAGTAAGGCATGCATCACTGCACACAGCTCATTTTTATAATTATTGCCAATCAAAGGAGATGGAGAAGAAATCCATGAAGCGTTGTTTGGCAAAGAGCTGGCCTTGCACTTCATGAATTTATATATTCATGCATTTATTCATGTAACATATATTTATGGAATACTAATGATGTGCTATCAGAATGAACCAGCTGGCATTGCTGTCCCCCTGCTTCTCACTGTCTAGGGGAGAGACAGATGTGTGAGTGATGGGTGAACAGAGTAGCGGGATGGACACTATGGGAGCTTCTGGGGAGAGCCAAAAGTGAGAGGGATGGGAGTTGGCCAAGACTTTCTGGAGGAAAAAATGATCTGAATCTTGAAGGAATACAATTTAGCCAGGAACAGGACTGGGAGGGCACAGGGTGTACAGCAAAATCTCACCATGTTGAGTAAAGCGGTCAAGGCTATTGGAAAACTGGAGAGAGGAGGTCCCTATGGGGCTTAGTTTAGACAGCAGATTGGGAAGCAGGGACAGGACTGGAGTCAACCCATTTTGGACACTGTTGCAGTCTAGATTGCAGCAGTAGGGATGAAAAGGAGGAGACCAATTCAGAAGACATTTAGGAGTTAGAATGGAAAGTGCTAGGTGGGAAAATGGGAATGGAAAACAAAGGAAGGGAAGGAGTAGCCCATGCTCCGGGATGGAGCTGAACAGCTTTAGAAAGGGAGCCGTTCTCTGGTTGAGGAATCTCAGGAGCAGGAGCCATTTCTGGGGGAAGGTAGTTCAGCTTTGGACTTGTTGAGTTGCAGGCACCTTTGGGAGCTGTCCAAGAAGAGAGTCTATGGGCCGTATGGTCAATGGTCTGGGCTGGGGCTAGAGCCTGGGAGTCGAAATCCACACTGAGGTTGGGTGTGGGTGAGATCCTTGAAAGGGGTATGTGTCGAGTGAGAAGAAGGCCAAGGACAGATGGAGCTAAAATGGAAGGGACAGGTGACCAGATCTGACCCGCCACTTCTGCCACTGACTGCTTCCTCCTCCAAGCCCCTTCCTCATTTTTTTTTTCAGTGCCGTCTGTCTGCAGGTTATATCTGCACATCTGGCTGCTTTTTCTCAGACTCCAGGGGTTGTGGTTTGTTTTTCCTCCAGTGGTTCTCAGCAGCTGGAGGGTAGGAGCAGAGCTGAAGTGTTGCTGGGACATCATGCTGAAAGGTGTCAGAGTGGCAGAGAAGTTAGGGGTTTGGGTCGAACAGCATTCAAAGGGCTGGAACGTGCTGGGCTCAGTGGTGCATGTCTGCAATGCCAGCAGCTTGGGAGGCTGAGGCTGGAGTATTGCAAGTTCAAAATCAGCCTCAGCAACTTAGCAAGGCCCTAAGCAACTTAGCAAGACCCTGACTCTAAATAAAATATTAAAAGGGCTGGTGATGTGGCTCAGTGGTTTGAGCGCCCCTGGGTTCAATCCCTGGTACCAAAAAATAGTGGGGGGCCTAGAACATGAAATCTTGGCTGGCAGAGGAGATGGGGATGAAAGAACTGATGATGTGGGGAAAGGAGATGAGGGCTTGAGGGGGTTGGAGAGCAGGTGCATTGAGAGGGATACAGGGAGAGAAACAGATGCCATTGGGGTTTAAGATTGGGAAGTAGGGAAGACAAGGCTCAAAGTGTATTTATAGAGTGGCAGACAAGGAATGAATGGAGAGATATTTAATTTGACATGACAAGAGCTGAGAGGTTAGGTCATCACATGGCTGTCCCATGACATTGAAATCCCCCAAATGTCACAGCATTTGGTAGAGAAGATGCCTGGGGAACAAATACTTTGCTTTGGGGAGGATGAGTAGGGGAGTGGCCAGGAGGGAGGAAGCAGAGGAGGGCAGAGCAGGAAAGAGAACTATGGCAGGGACCTCAGGAGGGCAGGCCAATCCACAAGGGTGAAGGGGAGGGCAGCTGAATACAGTGGAATGCTGGTCCTGCTTGCAGAGTGCACGAAACTTGGGAGAGAGTCATCTCAGTCAGAGAGGACCCAGGGGAAGTGGAGCCATAATGAGGGCCCACTGATAGACCAGGCGCCCGCCTATGGGCCATGGGAAGCTTGCCTGACATGGAAGAGGGAGTCCAGAGGATCCCTGGTGGAAAAGATGGCCAGAGTGCAAAGAAGGGAGAGGAGGAGAAACGATGGATGGTCCTGCACTGGGGGATGTGAGGCCCAGTGGGTTTTCTTTGGTCTTTTTTCTTTTCTTTTTTTTTTTTTTTGGTACCCGGGATTGAACTCAGAGGTGCTCAACCACTGAGCCACATCTCCAGCCCTTTTATATTTTTTTTAGAGACAGGGTCTCATTGAGTTGTTCAGGGCCTCACTAAGTTGCTGAGGCTGGCTTTGAACTCACAATCCTCCTGTCTCAGCCTCCCAAGCCACTGGAATTACAGGCCCGGCCCAGTGGGTTTTCTTGCATTAAGGTTCTCAGGGACTCTGTAGCATAAGGCCACAGATTGTCACCAGTGCATATTCAGCTCCCCATGTGTGATCTACAACTGTCCTCATAGCCGCACTGGCTGTCCCTCTAGTTCTTGGGCCTCTCCACTTTTGAAAACATTTGGAAGCTCATTCACTCAGTAAACATCGTGTGCCCGCTGCGTGCCTGGCACCAAACGGCAGCTCAGGTTTGCTTTTTGCACTTTTCCGAACCGGGCTGTGCTTTTGCAGATGTCTTTTCATGAATCCATTAAATGGTCCTATGAGCTAGATAAGCCAGGTATAGCCCAAATTTTTAGGTAGGAAATAGATCCAAACAGGGGAGGTGACTTGCCCAAGAGCTCTGAAGTGACAGAGCTGGAGCTAGAACCTGGGTTTCCTGACCCCACGCCTAGTGCTCTCTCCCCCATGCCAGGCTGCCCCTGCACATGCCAGCCCGCAGCCACAGTCAGTGACGTGGCGCAGCCTCCTCATGTTCCACCTGGGCTGGTTCTTTGAGGTCCTCATCTCTCTTGTGGGGGACTTTCTAGAAGTCTCTGAACCCCAACTATTGAGTCATATCATATATTTCACAAATGACCTTGGTTCTAGATTTCTTCAAGAAAAAAAGGACTTTGGAGGCTGGGGTGCAGCTCAGAGGTGCCTGACTAGAAATGTGCAAGGCCCTGGGTTCAATCCCCAGCACAAAAGAGGGGGGGGAGGAAAAAAGGACTTTGCACGTATTTTGGTTCATCTGTCGGTAGCAGAGCATCACTGGTCAGCCGCTGAGTCAGAGCTGTCCTTTTCCCTTCTTCAGCACCACAGTGTGCATTGTCACCAGGCACCTCCCTGCTTGCCCTGTATTCAGTGTATATCCCCTAAGCACCATCTGCTTTGTGCCAGGCACTGTTCGAGGCGTTAGGGATACTGCAGTGACTGGAGGCAAAGCCCCGGCTCTCAGGAGCTTGCATCCTAGTGAGCGGCGACAACTACATAACCTAGTGACTCTGTAATATATTTATTACTAGGAAGCAAAATAAAAAAGCAGAATAAGGTGGCAGAGGATGGTGGGGGTGGGCATGCTATTTTGACAGGCGGGTCAGAAAAAATTTCTCTGATAATGAGAGGGAGCGTATCATGTGTATCTCTGGGGAAAGGCAATTCGGGGAGACAGATCAGTCAGTGCAAAGGCCTTGAGTTGGGAGCGTGCTTATATGTTCTGACTGGAGTGCAGTGAGCAAAATGGAGCACGTGGAAGAGCCTCAGAGAGGCCCGTCAAGGTTGAGGGCTGGTAGGGAACAGGGAGGACTGTAGATTGCACGAGGCCCAGTAGACCAGGAAAAAGACTTGGGATTTTTTTTTTTTTTTTTTTTGAGTGAGATGGGAAGTCATTAGGAGGCTTGGTATTCATGAATGACACCTTGAAAAAGATCACTCAGGGGCTGGGGTTGTGGCAGAGCGCTTGCCTAGCCTGAGTGAGGCACTGGGTTCAATTCTCAGCACCACGTAT